AAGCTGGATTGTGTGTAAATTCGGGAGTTCACCTATTTGTGAGTATTAAGATGAAGGGATCACCCAATTATGTGCGAGACACAGGACCAATGTAAAGCAGCAATCATGGGGTGGAAGTCAATGCTGAGAGATGAACTTTTGACTGTGAGTAAGCATCTAGGCATTGAAGTAGTGGAAAGAATAAGCAGGACACGGATTGTGAGGCTGATCTCGCAAAAAGCCAGTAAGGAGGAAATTAAAAACGCGGTGGGAACTTTTGAGAAACAGAAAAAGAAAGAGAAATATGGGAAAGAAGGGAAATAGAAAAGCGTGAGCGAGCACTCGACTTAGAGATTGAACAATTGGAACAGAAAGTCGAGGCAATGCGGCGGGAAATTCAGCCATCCGCAAGTGTAGCGCACAAGGAGTGCAATGAACAAATAAGAGTAGTGCAGTTCAGAGCCGTAGAGAAGGCTAGCATGTCTCAAGCCAGCAGCAGGTTCGAAGATGAACCGGATTTGAATGCTGCGAATGATGCTGCTCTAATGAGAGAGGCTGTTGATGGTCAGAGGGGGTGTGACGAGGTGCTGTGCCAATTCAATGCAAGTGAAACAGCTAGAATATCTGTAGACAATCTGGCACAGACCTTAACTGTTGTTGTCGCGACGGTGGATCTTGCAAATGAGGTCAAAGTGAGCAAGAACATCGGAGAAAGCTCAGGAGAGGCAGCGAATGCAGAGTGTGAAGAAAACAGTACGGTTGTAGACTGCTCACAGCAATGCCAACTAGAGTGTTTGAGGGAAAACAGTCGCATTGTTCCTAAGAGCATCAAGCTGTCCACCAGTCTAGAGTGTGAAAATAGGTGATTTTTTCGAGAATCATTTAGACAGCGCGGCGTCGACAGCTGACGAATGCTGTGAGAGGGTGGTCGAACTTGAGCAGCGATCAGAAGGCTTGGAAACGAACCACAAGAAGCGGCGCAGACAAAAGCGATGTCGGAGAGCTGCGAGCGAGACAAAAGGCACTAAGGATGTAAAGAGAGGCTAGACACATTTAAGCGTAGTGAACAGAACTAGGGGTTCTGCATCGGCGTCAAACTCTGTTTGCATGCGTCCGAGCCACCGGACGAAAAGTAAAAAGAAAGCAGATTCGCAGATGGAATCACATGGAAAGCGCCAGTTTTCCTGTTCTACCCACAGCAAGTTTCGTAGGGCGTCCTTGAGCTGTAAAACCACTGATGACGCAACCCGAGGCCAATTTCATAGTTGTGAGAAAAGGGTCAGTCGCAATCGTAAAAGAGTGAAACGAAGAAACGCGGTAATGCGAAGGCATGAAAGAGGTGGCAAACAGCAAGGCGAAAGAAAGAAGGGTAGATCATCGGCCCGTTTAACCAAAGGTCCTTTGTGGCCTACAGTAAGGCACAGACGACGAAATCGTAGGCCATGGCGCAAGTCCTTGCGACGGAATGCGTGGTGGAGCTTTAGAGCTTTTCGTGAACAAGAGTGTCGACGTGATCTTAGAAGAAAAGCCACAGTAGCTAAACGCCGCACGGAAGCGAGCCCAAAGAGGTCATGGCCACTCTTTCCCAAGCGTTGCGGGAGGCCCCTCCACCAGACTAACAGAAGCTGGCCGAAATCGCGAATGAGGCGTGACTGCACTGTTCAGCTTGTAGGACGTGCACGTTGTGGTGCCGAGCGTTCTGGAAATCCCCCAAGACAGCGGCCACCGCGTGTACGATTGAAGAATGAGGAACAGCTGTAAGCTGTAGACAGGGACACAGAAATTTACTGGGAAGCATGTTTGTTTGGTTATTTTCGGTTTTGAAATAATATTCTTTTGTCATCGCCACGGCTAGCTTGTTTGGATACAGTTTTTTCACTTCCCGGTTTGTTTTATTAAGCAGTGACCAGCATCAGTCAGCCGATTGTGTGCAATGAGTTGACCTTTGATATAAGAGCACGTTAGTCGTGAATTCAGATTTGTACGCCCCGCTAGTTTTGAAAGCGCGGTAGCGTTGTCGAGCGGAGCCGGAGTTTCTATGCTTCGTGCCTTTTAGTGTAGCGCGACATCGCATGCCGTCTTAAGAGAGTAAATGAGCAATGTTCAGGAAGGTTTTAAAATAAATCGAAAGCTGTTTTCGAAAGGCTCGTGTTTGAGAAACATTTGCTACGGTGTTGGTGGCACAAAACTTACGCAGGTTTTCTTATGTACTCTTGACGTGTACAGCATCTAGCGTTATTTTCATCGCGTGTTGGTTTTTGTGAACATTGATGTTCATACACGTGTTTGGTGGTGCCTGGCTTATAGGGATATGACCTATGGTTAGGTGTGTGTTAGTATACTAGAGCTCTTTGGATGAAAGTATGACGTCGTGCTAGGGCGCACAGCAAAGTCTTGTGCATTCTTTAAAAACATGGGCTGACATGAGGCTACATTCAGTAAACGAGCGTGCTAGTATGTGAGGGTAATTTCCTTTTGTTATTTTAGTGAGTGCTCAGAGTTCAAGTGATCTCTTGGGAAAAGCGTTACGCTTTACCGAACGTTGAAGGAAGAGAAGGAAATAATTTCATTTTGTATCTGGCGTGTCGGTGGGTTGGGATTCCGCCTAGGCGTTGGCTAGAAGGTCTTGCCTCCTAGCGGCTTCCTCGGCCCGCTGGATTGCCCATAGCTGATCGTCCAGGGCTGAACTGAGCAGCACGGCCAGCCAACGCGCGCCGAGGCTGTCGGTGAAGGCCACGTTCTCGTAACTGTGTTTTAGCATTCCCATAGTTTATGTTCTAAGAAAGCTCGTGCCTGACAATCATTGCATTGAGTGGTCGCGTAGATCTCTGGATACATAGCATGTAGTAGCGCTGGATTCCTATAGGATCTGGTTTGTAATTGTCGCCCTTAGATAGACTGTGCCTGTCCTGTTGAGTTTATGATGAGGAGGGGGACAAACGTGCCTCTGTAATTTATAATGTTTTGTAATTTCAGTGAACGTTGTCATTCGGTCCTCCACCTCCCACACATTTGGAAATTCTGATGAGGGATTAACATTAGTCATAGCCCAGAAAGTGAGTCCTCGAGATACGTTGTGTGCCACCTCGTTAGGGTTGATATCTCCCGTGGTGTCGGGTATGTGAGCTGGGAACCAGAGAATGCAAACTCATTAGTCGTCTTGGTTGGTTTTGCCTGTTCTAAAAATATACAGTGCTTCAGGGGAGATTCTGCCATTTGCAAAGTTGCGTACAGCTACTTAAGAAACGTTGATTATATAACAAGGGTCAGTTTGTGATATGGTCAAAACTATACCTATCTCTTTTGCCATTTCATAGCGTCTCACAGGTATTGTCAAACTGGCGCTACATTGTTTCTTGTGGTTAACTACAGCCGCGACGAAGCAGCTTTTGTGTTCGTAGTGAGCGGCATCTACGAAGACCGCTTCTTTATTGTTTCCGTAGCTCTTTGTCATCGTCTTGGCTCTACTCAGCCTTCTACCAGCGTTGTGGACGGGATGCATGTTTTTAGGTAACGGAGGCACCATGAGCTTAGCCCGTATGTCACGAGGAATGTCGCATTTGGTGCCAAATTGTGTGTGGTAAGTGATGCTTAATTTTTCCAGAACACACCTACCAATCTTGGTTTTAAAGAGGCGCTTGTACTGTGAAATACGTTGCGCCTCTATCAATTCCTCAAGTGTATTATATAAATCTAGCTCCAGCCGCCTCTCTGTACTTGTACTTTGCATGAGCCCCAGCGCTTGTTTGTAGATTTTTCTTATGAGGCTGTTTAATTTCATTTTTTCTGCTGCGAACCATCTATGGTATGCAGAAACATATGTATTGTGGCTGATGACAAACGCGTGGATGAGCCTTATGGAATTTGCCTCTTTCATGCCGCTATGTCTATTCGTAATTCTTTTGATTAGGCACATCGATTGAGAAACCTTCGCTTCGATATTGCGTACCATTTCCCCATTGGTGCCTTTGGCTTCTAGTATTAACCCCAGTACCCTTATCTTGTCGACAATGGGTATGATGTGTCCATCTCGTGTTTCAAGTTGTATGTCAATGTAGGTATGTGTGTTGTGGTGCTTGGGAGGTCGGCCTTTTAATGTTGGTCTATATAGTAGCAGCTCAGATTTTTCGGCTGAGCACGTGAGACCAGTTCCTTCTTGGTATTGCTCTACGGTGTCGATTGCTTCTTGTAAACATTGTTCAATTGACCCATCGCTGCTGTTGCTTACCCACAGAGTAATATCATCTGCATATATTGTATTGTGCAAACCTTCTATCTTTTCTAATCTACTTGGGAGGCCAGTTAGGACTAAGTTAAATAACATAGGCGATATCACTGATTCTTGGGGTGCACCTGCACTAACCATAGATATTTCCTCAAATGTGAGGCCTCCTACAACGATTTTAGCTTGTCTATCCATTAGGAAGTTCCTAATGTAATTATACGTCTGCTCATCTAAACCTAAGTTACTGACATGATTCAGTATGGCTTGGTGGGTGACATTATCAAATGCCTTTTTTAGATCAAGCCCGAGGATGGCTCGAGTTGATCTGCTAGGGTTATCTATGATCTCGTGTTTTAATTGTAGCATCGCGTCTTGTGTACAGAGATTTTTCCGAAATCCTACCATTGTACATAGGAGTACGTTGTTTTCTAGGTAGTTAGTCAATCGGGTCAGTAAGGCTTGTTCCACTACCTTACCCAAGCAGGAAGTTAGTGAAATAGGTCTCAGGTTTTCAAGTTGTGAGCGTTTGGCAGGCTTGGGTATGAGCACAACGTGCGCCATTTTCCATTGCTGTGCTGTGGTATGTGGCCTTGTCTCCAGCATTCATTAATAAAGTATATGTTCATTTGCCAATGAACGTATCGTCAAGGTTTCGCAGTGTTTTGTTTGTAATGGCGTCAGGGCCCGGTGCCGACGTAGTATTTGTAACAACAACAGTAACAACAGTAACAACAATTATGTCTGAAAATGGAGCAAGCAACAATGCTTTTTACATAAATGTAAAAGGCACCCTTACCTGTTTAATTCCAGCCAGCTCACCAAGGTCACTGATGATGCAACCAATGTAGATAGCAGCCCAGCAAATAATATGGATGGTAGCAAGTGTCCATGAGAGAGGAGAATCCTCCTTTATGGCCCATAAGATGTGACTGTCCAGGGGCAACCACAGCAGCATCAGTAGCTGAAACACTGCTGTTGTAGGGACGCTTGTGCAGCACCACCATTGGCATAGTTACCTTTAATGACAGGCAGCTGGTCATCAAATAAGCACTCCTCGAGAGAGCTCCACAATTGTGATCCATTGCTGAACACACTTTGGGCCAGCAGAGGACACTGTGCTGAAAACAGAACTGCAGTGCAAGGCCAACATCCCACAGCACGCATATTAGAGGGCCTGCATCGATTGGAAAGAGAGAGCATCTATAAATGGAAGAAGCATAATGCTGGTGAGAATAATATCGTTTATGCAACTGTGCTAGAATTAGGATGCTCAATAAGTTTTTATCACCTTAACAGGCCAACATTCATCCATGCATGTCTCTGGCATCTGCAAACTGTGGATCTGACATTGTAAGTTCATTTGGTTGCTGAAGCTGTTAATGCAAGTATTGTTATCTTCTCAACCACTGTAGGGCTTCCCTACTATTTCTATATGACTAATCCCACGTCATACTCGCAAATTTTCTCTTAGAAATGTTGTTCTGCTCGTATGTTTGCATGAAAATACCCACTGCAACACTTCATGCAGCAACTCATTTTTGTAGTTTTTTTATTGTTATTCTTTACCCTTAGCTACTTATTGTAAAAAAATCATAGCATATCCATGAAGGGAATTGTGATGAGTGGGGCAAAGCGTCCATCCATTCGTCTGTGCTTCCATCCGTCTGTCTGTTCGTGCTTCCGTCTGTCCATCCATGCTTCCATCCATCCATTCGTCCATGCTTCCATTCGTGCTGCCTGCCTGTCTGTATGTCTGTCTGTCCGTCCATCTGCCTGTCAGCCATCCGGCTGTCCGTTCTGCTGTCTCTATGTCTGTCCGTCTGTCGGCCGTCCATCTGCCCATCCACCTGTCCATCTAGTGAATACTCCAAGTACGGCCACCTCACATATTTTCATCATATTTTCATTATACACAAGTGCCAACATCTAGTGGACATTCCAAGGACTAAAACAAGAGGTGGGTGCTACATACAAAAGACCCACGACCCACGCCTTAAGGAGCTTCGCCCCTAAAACACACACACACCCCAAAAGCAAGACTGGTGTGAATATTCCTTAAAGAAGTCTTCTGAACTCTACGCTACCACCCAGTGCTGTGTAAAGGCAAAAGGTATCTGTTATATCTCATAAATATTTGCCCGACTTAATTTTCTTCAAAGAAAGATCACGATTGAAATCCTATTAAGCGTGTTGATTTACCAAGAAAGTACGGCATTAAATGCAATCGTGTGTGAATCTTCGTCACCCTGCTCGTACGAGCTAAAGGTGAAGAAGCGCAATGGCATATTAAAAAGCAGTTTTCATCAGGGATGTTTACATCAACATTCACATTAGAAAACTGTATCACACCATCCTACTGATACCTGCAAAGGCTAGTAAAGTTTCAGAGTCCTGAAAATAAGAACACGTTTCCATCAACGAAACATTTGATTGACGGCTACAATCTGACGATGCATTTGTTTCAAACAGATTACCTGAAAATGCACACTCTTTTCCTAGAACATTTTTGTGACATAAAAATAGTCCGTCACCACTTCTGGAAGGACATCTGTGCAATCGGAAGTTTGGAGAACTTACACTTCATGACCTCAAGCTCAGGTTTCCATGCATTTGATGTTCACGCAACTGGTGTCTTATTCTCTGCACGGCGCATCACAGCCACGTCAAAGGCCAGCTGGGCCAACTGAATACAAATTTCACAGTAACAAAAAGGTCTATTCACGTCGTCTTGTGGCACACTAAGGCGCCAGCTGAATTTAAGATCGTTTACGTTTTGTATGTGCCTCATCTTCGATATAAAAAAATTCTCCGAACTTAATTCATATAATTGCTATGACAAAATGTAATGCAAAAGGTGCGAGTCTCAACAATGATATACCAGAGAAAAAATGCAAGCATACCTGCGGCGGCCACTCGATTGAATGGCCTTCGTTTACTGTGGCGCCCCTAGAGGCTGCCACTGACTCTGTATTGAACTGTGGTGGCAATTTCGCGACCAAAAAAGCAATTGAGGGAGTAAGGCGACAGTCACCGTTAACAACAGGATTTATCCCATAACCTTCTTAGTCTTACAGCATTATTCAGGAGGTATTATCATTGGTATGAACTTAGCCTTCATAGGGCAGTCTACAACCTGAGACACAAGTCGATAAGATTATCCACAGAAAAAGCACTACAGTCGCAAACGCCACCAGGAATGCATGCCTTGAATGAGCTGGAAGACCAGGTCACCCCCCATCTCATTATGAGAATGCCGCTCTCAAAACACAAAGAGACAGCAGACACGGTTGGGCACACCAAAACATCATGTACATTTATTCAACTACTTTTACATCGACGATATCCCTAACCGAATCAAATATGCCACTAATGACACACCAAAACAATCTTATACAATATTCCAATACACTCAATCAATGTAACAAAAACAAGGTAACGCGAAGGCGACGTCACCTATGTTAGACTCACAGCGAAAGACCCACTGCAGAAGACCAGCAGTTGCTGCATCCAGCGGGACCCTGTCTGGAGATGACCATTCTGCCTCGCCACAAAACGCCACTGCCACCGCTACGTGCTAATCATGACAATAATGATGATAATGATGACGGTGAACTTGCGCAAGCACTGTGCCACCTACCGCTTGATGGTTATTAACCTAAAGTGCGGCCTATCTGCAAGACCCGTGTGCGCCAATAGGCCCAAAATGACCTTACAGGGAGTGATAGGAACCCCCAAAATGAAAGGACTACTTCTCATTGTCATCAATAATTTTGCGGACTACAGTCATGCAACATTGCATCATAACAGAAGAATGTGCGAAGCCACTCCGTCAGAGCCTGTACAAAGTTTCGACACAATACGCGAGGCTTTAAAAAGGCAAGTTGGCGATATGCTACGCTACGACCAGGCGCGTAGCCAGAAACTCTTTTCTATCAGGGGGGGGGGGGGGGGGGGGGGGCACATTTTTGATTTTGGGAAGGGCACCCTCTTGAACTGGCCCTTTCTTGCTCTCTATGCCGTGGCAAAACAAATCAAAACTCCAGAGAGGGCACCGGGTCCGTGCCCTCCCCTCCAGGGAGGGGAGGGCACGGACCCGGTGTGCCACTCTTGGCTATGACTGCATCCAGCTGTCCAAGAGTCCGTGTTGGTGAAGAAGTACAAAACCTTATATTTTTATGCATGTGTTGTACAGACTTGGGAGGAAAGTTTTTCCTGAAATAAATGTTAGTTGTTAGTGCCATATCTCTGCCCACTGTCTCCGTTTCTGTGGCTGTGCTTTTTCTGATTTTGACCTTTTGTGGCTTTTGTAGATAATTAAGTATGCACCAACTTGCTCAACAAGCAACTTTTCTGAACTAATTTTTAGATTCCGTTTGAGAAGTGAGACGCACCAACGGTGGAAGATCCGGCTGCATAGAATCTGCTGGGATGACTTCAAACCACGTTGATTCTGTAAGGTACACGATCTAACATCGTTGGGTTTTTGTCCTTATAAAGGCCGCATATTCATTTTTGGGTTTATTTGTAATGTTTGTCCGTGGCTTCTTTGAAATAGTTTTCAAACAACTTTCTGTCAGGCACGGTGTAGGATCCATGCTTTTTAGCTGGAGACGTTTCTCGGCTTGTGCGCAAGGTGCGTTCCATGGCAAAGCCCACATCCACCGCATGTTATATTTTTTGTATACAGAAAACGCAGCGTTCTTTTCCACTTTAGGTGCTGCTGTGCAATTCCCATGTTCTTTAACTAATAAATTTAGACACCGAGATCTATCGTGGACGAGACATGTCGCAGTACTTAAATCTATATTGAAGAGCTTTGCTCTTGTTTTTCATCACGTGGCAGGAGCAAGATGGGGCCCATCAGAATCATTGCTACTTCAATTGTACAATGCTCTATTTGTGGGATACATTCGATGCAGCATGCCAGTGCTCTCCAACATGAGACCTAGTAGTGTGAAGACGCTAGAAAGTGTTCAAGCTCAATGCTTACGAAGATGCTTGGGTCTACTGCGCTGTACTTCAACAAATGGGACAATCTCAAAGGCTTGGGCTTCTCCCATCAGTGTATACATGGTCTGCGAGCCACTTAGAGTTCACCTTCGATTGCTGAGCCAACACAGACAGCACCCACTATCTGTAGTACCCACCACTCACCCAGAGTGCAGTTTCTCAAGAGTAATATCGCGGCATGAGAATATTATACCATCAAGGTTTTTTCCACCAAATGTCCCTGCAGTGCCTAAATGGGTCCTGCCTAAACCACCTGTTCATTTTACGATACCTCGAGTTACGAAGAAGCCGCTCATTTCTTTTGTTGGCCTCAGACAACTGACCTTATATCACATTTATAGAACGTATGGTGATTTTCTGCATGTGTACACCGAAGGGTCCACCACTCTAAGCACCTCTGCCGCAGCCTTTGTCATCCCAGACATGGAAATTTCTCGACGATTCAAAGTGGACCATAAAACCACATCAACAGCCGCAGAGCTTGTCGCTATCCAGGGGGCAATAAGATTTATTTCCGGAGAGCGACCTCGTGCCTGGACGATTTTCTGTGATGCCAAACCCGCTTTGCAAACCATTAATTGCATCATGAAGCAAGGTTCATATTACAGCTTGGCAATAGAAATCGCAGAACTTAGTCACGTTGCTTCAACAAATGGCCATCTTATCACGTTTCAGTGGATTCCCGCGCATTGCGGCGTGACGGGAAACGAAGAGGCAGACGCTGAATCTAAAAATGCCTTAAGCAGTGCCCCTGAAGTACGCATTGCGTTTTCACGAGCTGACACGAACACCCTGCTTCGCTGCGTGATGCGCAGCTACACACTTGAGCACTGGACCAAACCGAAATGGCGACACCGGGGACTTCACAAATGGGACCTGGAGATGAGGTACCGCATGCCCCCTAAATTGAAACGGCAATTCACAAGTATGATCCACCGCATTCGTCTTGGTGTGGCATACACCAGACTTTACGCTTATATCATCGGTCACAGTGACACCGGTCCTAATTGTGAACACTGTGATGTGCCAGAAACACTTGAGCACATATTTTGTGTCTGCCCAGTATACGCACGTAAACCACGAACACTGATTTCTTCTACTGAACGATATCGCAGTAGGTCATTAACTGATGAGACCGTGTTGGGCCATTGGCCAGACACGAAC